GCACGGGGCGGGGGTGGTGGTGGTGGTGGTGGTGGTGGTGGTTACTGGGCAGGAAGGGGAGGAGACTGGGTTAGGGTTGGGGATGGTAAATGAGTTGTTGTTGTTGTTGTTATTTGCCGTCGGCCCCCACTCATAGCGACCCCTCCTTGGGTTTCCGAGGCAGTATCACTACGGAAGTAGGATTGCCCAACCTTCCTTCCGAGGAGTGGCTGGTGGGTTTGAACCATCAGCCTTCTGGTTAGCAGTCAAGTGCCTTAGGCACTATGCTACCAGAGCTCCTGGTAAATGAGTAGGTAAATGAGTAGTGAAACTAAATATACACGTTAACGTTGAATGTAAAACAAACTCTGCTCTGTAAACTTGTACCAGCAACGCAATGCAACCACTGCTATGGAGTCAGTTCCGACTCATAGCAACCCCTCCTTGGGTTTCCGAGGCGGTATCACTACGGACGTAGATTGCCCAACCTTCCTTCCAAGGAGTGGCAGGTGGGTTTGAACTGCCAGCCTTCTGGTTAGCAATCAAGTGCCTTAGGCACTATGCCAGCACAGCTCCCAAAGCACAATTTAAAAAAAAAAAAAAAGATATAAGCGAAGTGAAAATAGAGTGTTTACTTTGTATGTCACTTCAAGACTAGACTCCCAGGCCCAGCTTCTAACATGATTATGGTTACCAAGCTCCTTCTGTATGAAAACTCTAGAGCCCTCACTGTGCAGTAGGGATAAGATAGCCCTTATGTAAATTCACAGCTCATCTCAGCTGTTTGTGAGAAGCTCAGAGGACAGACAGCAGAGGAGGAGACAAAGTAGCCCTAAACCCCACTAGCTTTCTGTGTTGGGATCAGGGCTGGGACATCAGCTGCTGCACTTGGTTTCTCTCTGAGACACCACTCAGAGTTGTATAGGAGCCCTGGTGGCACAGTGATTAAGCACTTGGTGGCTAACTGAAAGGCTGATGGTTCAAACCCACCAGCTGCTCTGTGGAAGAAAGATGTTGCAGTCTGCTTGTATAAAGATTTACAGCCTTTTACATTCTATGGGGTGATTCTACTCTGTCCTATAGAGTCACTATGAACAGGAATTCAACTCGATTACAATGGGTTATGGGCCGCATAGCCAAAATATGAAACATATCCAAGTGTTGCATTTTAAAACTGTACTTAATAAAAATTGAAGAAACATCCTGATTTCTCTAGTCACTCTTCTGTTGACACAAACTGTCAAGAGATAGTAGGAGAAAGGTCCCTGCTACAAGCTATTTGATATTTCCTAAGGAGCAAAGTTTCCCCTTTGTCCACTGACCCTCTTAATAGCTCTTCAGGTTCTAATATTAGAATTCTCGTTTCCTGTCCTGGGAAATAACTGCACAGAATTTCAATAAATTCAGCCCAGATGATGCGGAAGCTTTCTATATTGACACAACATGGCATTCATTCATTAATGTCATCAACAAATATTTACTGAGCACCAACTATGTGCCAGACATCATTCTAGGCATTTGGAGTGCAGCCTGAGAATAACTAAGTCCCTGTTCTTATGCAACTTGCTAACATTCAGGCTAAAACAGAGAACATGGAACTTCCCTACAGAGGCACTGTGGGTGATTTAACCTATTACTGAAAAGCTCCAGTGGGAGCAAATAACTGACCTTAGGATAGAATACTGTTGTTGCTGGTATTCTTAGAACAATCAGTGGTAAGGTAGAAACTGCATCACTTGAGTCTTCTAAATTTTGGTCCTTGCAAATGTTTCAGAGTAGCCCAATGAAACAACATGAGCCACATAAATAATTCTGAATGTTCTAGTTGCTAGGTTAAACAAGTGAAATAAGCAGGCAATAATATTTTATTTTAACTCAATATATGCAAAATATTATAATTTCAACATGTAATCATTGTACAAATATCCAGCTATTTTAGTTTTTTTTTAAAATTTTTAATATTAACTTTGAAATCTGGTGTGTATGTATACTCAGAGCACATTTTAATTTGGATTGCTCATATTTCTTGTGCTCAACAGCTACACGGGGTTGGTATTGTTTGACAGAGGTTCAGAAAACTGTTAAGATTCCTCTGTCCTCTTATTTTGGGGATGGAGGAGAGAATGTTCGCTGAAGTGAAATATTTTGTGAGCTCTAGTGGCAGTGTTTTGGTAAAGAATGAGAATTAGGTGAGGACCACCATAGACTTCCTTTGCATCAGCCCTCCTCAGTGCCCAGAACAGAGGGAGGCCCTTGAGCTGTGCTAGGATGGGCATTAAATCCTTAATTCGTCCACTGAGGAAAGTGTTATCATCAATAGGAATGGTTTTCCACTAGTGCTGAACTAACAGAACCATATCAGACGACATCTCAAGGTAGAAAGGAAAAAGGCTGATAAAAAATGAATGTCCAAATCTCAAACCTTTAAATTAGCCAACTCCTTATTCGGACCTTTTCAGAATTCCTTCCCACCCCAAAGGTCATAGCCTCTTAAGGGAAGCCTTGGACCCCAACGAGCTCCCCCTCAAAATGGAGAGCTGCCACCAGCTGGATGGGAGCTAAGGATGGAGGGTTTCCCTCCTTGCCACCGCGTCCACCCAAACTCCCTACTCTCATTTAGGCAAGCTCCATCCCCGCCAAGCCTGCCCTCTCCCCTCGAGGCCCGAGACTCTTGCCATCAGCCTTCCCTATCTCCCCAGGGCCCCAGCACCCGGGTCCGTTCCACCTGCTCAGCTCCAACCCCTTGGTGGCCGACTTGCCATCTCTTGGGGCTCGTGCGCCTCTCGTTTCAACTGGGCTTGCAACTCTAACTCGCTGAGGAGGGTGGAAGGCGGGAGGGGAGGGAGAGGGGACAGTCTTTTCCTCACTAAGCTAGGGGCCCGGAGCATCTCCCAAACGCAAAGGGGGCATTTTCTTTCCAGTGCCAAGGGCAGGCACCCTGTTGTCCCTGCCTAAGTGAGGACCGAATGACAGTCTGCCGGGTGCAGGTGGACCCCCTCGGCAAAGTTTCTTTGGGAATCCGGTTGCCCCCTCTCCCGGGCCTTCAGCCCACCCTGAAGACTCCAAGGATGCGCCCCAGCGGCCCTCAGGCAAAGGATCTTGGAGCACTTCCTTCCCGAGTTTCTTAGGGGAAGCGACCCCGCTTTGGGGTTAAACGGCAATCACAGCCTCCTCAGAGGCTTGCAGGGGCACCTCCCCATCCGTCTCTTCCTATCCCCCTCCCAGGCCTGCGTCTCGCGGCTTCCTCTACGGCTCTAAACAAGGGCAGGGGCCCGAGTCCGCGTTCACACGGAAAATTATGCCGGCTCCAGCGGCGCGTAAAATTGATGTGAACCGAACGAAGTGGGATCAGCGTGATCCTCCCTCTCTTGTCTCAACAGGGGTTTCGGCGCGTTACACAAGGCCGAGCTTGTCTCTTTAAGGAGACATTGGACCCTAATTAGTCCGCATTCCTGGCGCGGCCGCAGAGCTAGGGGCCAAGGGTGTTTGGGGTGGGAGGGAGGGCGAGACTCGGAAGGAGATCTTCTGACCAACCCCCAGTCTCACTGCCCCTTTCACCCCCTTTATTTTGCCGCCGTCACAACCGCCACCAACAGCCAGTTCTGAAGATGCAGCCAGGGCAGCAGCAACAACAGCAGCCGCCGCGGCTTCTCTCAGCCCCACGTTACTTTGATTGACAGCTGAACAAATGTTTCCCTGGTTCGAATGCTCGCGCTAAGGAACAGCAGCCAAGACGAAGCTCCGCCTTGGGCGGACCATCTCCGCCCCGCCTCTGCAAACCCCATTCCATTCTGTTCATTGGTTGGAGCCGCAGGCGACGCCCGGCCCCCACGTGGGTTTCATCCGGGCCGGCTCCTCCTCCCCTGGCTCTCCATTTGTCAGCAGTGAAATGATGGGCAGCAACACAGAACGGCGATTAATGTTTAGCTATCTCTGATTGGTTGCTGGAGACGCCTACCGCACCAGGAGTGGGCGGAGTGCTTGGAGAGCGCCCCAGAGCGCTCGCGTGGCCGGCCGGTGATTGTAGTCAATCTAGCAGAATCCTCAGCCGTAGTCGCCACGGACGGACTACATCTCCCGGGAAGCTCTGCGATCCCTCCCGAACGATTGTGAATATGTATAAGAATGTTAATGATTAGCTGCTGCTAAATTTGGTCAAAGAAGTCACCTACACCGAGCGTGTTGTTAGAGCTGTTCTGAGCGGGTGTTTGGGCTGTTGGCTGCTTTCTTCCCCCTCTCTCACAACACTTGTGTATTATTTTGAGGTGGTGTTCGCAGAGTTTGAAACGCGAGAGAATTAAAAAAAAAAAAAA